CACCTCCCCCACCCCCGCCCCACATCTATGACTTTGTGAACTCCCTGGAGCTCATGGATCGACTCGGGGCTCAGTGGGGAGGGATGCCCATGTCCTTCCAGATGCAGACCCAGATGTTAACTCGGCTCCACCAGCTGCGGCAGGGCAAGGGATTGACTGCTGCCTCGGCTGGTCCCCCTGGTGGGGCCTTTGGGGAGGCCTTCCTCCCATTCCCGCCGCCCCAAGAAACAGCATATGGCTTGCCCTATCCTCTGTATACGCAAGGGCAAGAAGGCCGAGGGGCATACTCCCGGGAGGCCTACCATCTGCCTTTGCCCATGGCAGCCGAGCCCCTGCCCTCCTCCTCAATCTTGGGAGAAGAGGCCCGGCTGCCTCCCAGGGAGGAAGCAGAGCTGGCAGAGGGCAAGGCCCTACCATCAGCAGGCACCGTGGGACGCGTGCTGGCCACCCTAGTGCAAGAGATGAAGAGCATCATGCAGCGAGACCTTAACCGCAAGATGGTGGAGAATGTGGCCTTTGGAGCCTTTGACCAGTGGTGGGAGAGCAAGGAAGAGAAGGCCAAGGTGAGGCTAGGGCCTAGGGCTGGGGAGGCCTGGGGCTCCTCTAGGCCACACAGGTCAGAGGACAGAGATGATGGAGGCAAGTGGGGAATGAGAGTGTGGGTCCTCAAGGGAATGCCCTGGCTGGGCAGGGGAGTTTGCAGCACTGAGCAGCAGACACGCATAGGCCTGAGAGGCCAAAGAGCTTTGTCCTGGTTCCGTGGCTTACTTGTGGTGACAAGGCCCTTAAATCTCATTGGGCTTCAGTCTTTTCATTTTGCCATTTGTGAAGTGGAAATAATAGTAGCTATTTCATAAGGTTGGTGGGATAAATGAGTAGACTTCTGAGAAAATGCCTGTGCAGGGACTGGTATAGGTGTGACAGAGATATGTCACATGGAGGAGCAAGTAGATGCCTTTCTATATTCCTGGGGTCTAGGAGTAGTTCTCAGGAAGGAGGGAATGCCTGGGTTCTGGGCTCTGGGGCTCAGTCCCCCTACTGCCTGCAGCCATTCCAGAATGCAGCCAAACAGCAAGCCAAGGAGGAGGATAAAGAGAAGACAAAGCTCAAAGAACCTGGCCTGCTGTCCCTCGTAGACTGGGCCAAGAGCGGGGGTACCACGGGCATCGAGGCTTTCGCCTTTGGGTCAGGGCTGCGAGGGGCCCTGCGGCTGCCTTCGTTCAAGGTACCGTGGTCTTGCTGAGCAGGGTGGGGAAAAGGGGGAAGGGGTCCCCTTCCTTGGTCAGGAACCACGAGTATTTGAGTTCTAAACTGGCTCTGTTTTTTCCACATCCCATCTAGGTAAAGCGGAAAGAGCCATCGGAGATTTCAGAGGCCAGTGAGGAAAAGAGGCCGCGGCCCTCTACTCCAGCTGAGGAAGATGAAGATGGTGAGTGGGAGGAGGTCAGGTGGAAAGAGAAGGGAGTTGGGCTGCATGGATTCTGACAGGAAGCAAGAGGCAGAGTGGAAGGGCCAGGGTGTCTTGAGGAAAAAGGCAAGTAGAGATTCTGGTACGGGGTTAATATAAAGTAATCTGAGAGGCATGAGAGCATCAGATAGGGTCATCCCTGCATTTCAGTTGTGGTTCTTGCTCTAGCATACTGTTCGAAGTTTTCTGTGTCTTGGTTTTTCTACCTGTGAAATGGAAATAATAATTTCAATATCTAGAATCACAGGATTTTGAGGTTAAGTCATCTCCCCAAGTTTACCATCCAAAGCTTATGCTCTCCTACAACCTTCCCCGCATTTTGTCTAAGTCTGAGCTGTTGGTTGACAGCTTACGTGGCTGGGAAACTTTGTTACTGAGTCAGATCTGCTTCCCTGGAGACCCGTTAGCCTTAGCAGTCTTTTCTTGGGCCAGGCATAACAAGTCTGTTCCTCTTCCACCCGAACCAGAAAATATGAAAGGTAAAAGAGGCGGGATGTGTTTAAAGTTGTATAAAATGTTAGGTAATGGTGAGGTGTTGTGTTTCTCTGCTGAGCTTTAGGTTCTTGTTTATGAAATGAGGCTTGTGAGTAGCAGTGGTATCTTGTAACGTTCCTTGCGTGGGGTCAGGGACAGTAACTTATCGTTGATAGTAAATTGCCCTGACTGCCATTTGCCTGGCTAGACCCTGAGCGAGAGAAGGAGGCTGCAGAGCCAGGACGCCCGGGGACCAAGCCTCCAAAGCGAGACGAAGAGCGAGGCAAGACCCAGGGCAAGCACCGCAAGTCATTTGCTCTGGACAGCGAAGGGGAGGAGGCATCCCAGGAGTCCTCCTCAGAAAAGGTGAGTGGCCAGGGAACTGGGGCCCCATCCCCATAGCCAGCTACTCTTTGGGCTGGAGCCCAGACAGCTGTGCCTCGTGGAAGACCGGTTATCCTTTTCCTGCTAGTCCCCATTTGTTCCTTTTCTTAAGGATGAGGAGGATGATGAGGAAGATGAGGAAGATGAAGAGCGAGAGGAAGCTGTGGATACCACCAAGAAGGAGACAGAGGCGTCAGATGGTGAGCACAGACAGTTGAATAGAGTTCTGGTTTGGGGAAGAAGGGATTTGGCCACCTGGCTAGCCCTTTGCTGAGCCCACATAATTTTCCTGTTGGGGGCACTTTTGCCTTCCACAAGAGCAACTGTTTTAGCCACATCCTTTAGAACCCTTGACTCCTTGGAAACAATAACCCCAGTACTCAAAATTCTCCCTTCAGCTCCCCTTCTACTGAAACACCGCTGTCCCGGAGGACAGCCCAGCAGAGCCTGTTTGTTTTCCCGAGCCCTCAGGGTAGGGCATGCCTTCTCCTGCTGCAGGTGTCCCTTTCCTTTCCACCTCAGGGTACTGCTCTTCCTTTAAGGCCCAGCCCCCAAGCTGTGCCGCCCCTTCCCCTCCTCATAGCTGCCATCACCAGCCACTCCTCTGTCCTTCAGTTGGACACCTGTTTGCTTCCCCACATTCATTGAGGTCTTGGGTACATGTTTAGTCTTTTGATTCATTTGTTCAGAGTCTATATCAAGCCCCATCTCTATGCCAGGTACTGTTCTAGGTATTTGGGATGTGGCAGTGGCCAAGACAGACGTGGCTCCTGCTCTTGCAGAGCTGGTGGTTGGGGGAGGAGGAGACTTGACAAACAAGTGAACATACAGTATTGCTTCAGAAAAAGAGTTGTGCTTTGAAGAAGATAAAACAGGTTAATGGGATGGGGAATAATAGAGTGCAGGTCCTGTGGGGTAGATTTACTGTTTCTTGCATGGTGATCGAGAAGTGCCTGTAAGAGGCGCTGTTGCAGCAGAGGCCAGGATGGTGAGAGTGGTGATCTGGGGGCCTCTCTTCAGTAGAGCAGGGTGCAGGACTGTCTGCTAAGAATGAGGGCTGCCCCCCCCCCCCCACATCCACTTGATCACCAGTTCCCATCAGTTTCAACTCCCGAATGCTGCTTGAACACAGCGCCCCCTTTTGTTCCTGCTCTGCTGCCTTTCTCACTTAGATTCTCACAGCAGTCCTGACTCATCTCCCTGTCTCTTTTTCCACCCTTCTCCCTCTATTCCAGTCTATTTTCTAAACTGCTGATAGAATTATCTTTTCTCAGATGCACACCTGACCCTGTCACCTCCCTCCATAAAGTCTTCATTGGCTCCCTGTTTTCCACAAGGTGACTCCTCAGCCTGACACCATAGGCCATTTATAATCTAGCCTCCGCTTCTCTGTTGAGCTCCATCTCACCATCCTCCGTTCCCCTTCCCAGCCACACCACCTTCTCGTCTACCCAATTATGTTCCTCAAAGACTGAACTTCTTAGGTTTCTTAGACCCTTCCTGTGTGTTACCAATCTCTCAGAGGCATAGAGCATGTAATGTTTTTTAAGCTTATTTTGCCTCAGAATCCTTTTTCACAGTCCTTCGTCCAGACTGGCCACAAGACCCACTTTGGGAAAAGCTTTGGTAGTCAGAGCAGACTACTTGCCAGTGTCCAGGTCTCCATCTTCTCTTGCCTTTGACATCCCTGCTTAGTCCCCACGTCCGCATGGTGGACTCCTCCTTGTCCTTCCCGGTATCAGCATCTCCTCAGGGAGCCTTCCCTGACGTGCTCCTTCAGGCAGAGTCCAGGCCTCCCTCCGCCTTCTTCCCAGCCCCTTGTGCTGACGTTTGTCACACTGCGAACAGGTGGTTTGCTCATCCAACCCCTTGATACTTGGCACTTGCCAGCACCTAGCATAGAGCCTGACATCCACAGTGAATGAACCTGTGGCTTGACCAAGTGAGGGTCTGCCCGCCTCGCCTGATTGCCCCTTCTGGATTTCCAGGCGAGGACGAGGAAAGCGATTTGTCCTCCAAATGTTCTCTGTATGCTGACTCAGATGGTGAAAATGATAGCACGTCGGAATCTGAGAGCAGCAGTTCCTCCAGCTCCTCATCTTCCTCCTCCTCGTCCTCCTCGTCTTCCTCGTCCTCTTCTTCATCCGAGTCATCCTCTGAAGATGAAGAGGAAGAGGAGCAGCCAGCAGCCATTCCCTCAGCCTCACCACCCCCCAGAGAAGTCCCAGCGCCCCTGCCTGCGCCTGTGGAAGAGCCCGAGCCAGAGAGGGTTGCAGGCTCCCCAGTTGCACCCTTGCCCGAACAGGAGAAGTCTCCAACAAGACCTGCAGGTAGGTGGTACATACAAAGAAAAAGTCACTACCTCCTGTCACTCCCCCTCGGACATGTTTATGGCCTAACACACCCAAACTGCGCTGCTGTAGTGGGTTACAGAGCCAGACCAGGGTTTTTGGCTACTAAAGTAAAACTGGGTGGTCTTCTCCCAAGTAAGTTAAGGAGAAAATCCCCAATTTAATAAATTCCTGCTACTAAATTTTCTTAAGCCCATTGTTTAATGTGTAGGTATACATTCAGGTGATTAAGTGGGCAGATAGGTAGAAAACAAATAAGAATAACATTAACTCAGAACTTAGTTCTGTCTTTCCTTTGTGGATTGTTACGTTCAGTTATTTGATAGCACGTACATATCATTTATTCTGCTGAGTGAACTGCTCGTTCGAGCAATAGATGTTTATTGAGTACTCACCACAGCCAAACAGGTGTGAGGGATATGATGGTGTGCCTAGCACGCCTGTTCTCACCCTCATGAAACTTACTATCTACAGGGAGAGACAGTTTAGTTGAGTCGTAAATACATAGAAAATCTATGATAAGCACAGGAAGGAAAACTACAGGGTACTCAGAACCTGAGCACATCTGCGGGCAGGGGAAAGTCTTCTCTGCTGAGGGAAAGGGCCGAAATCTAGGTGAAGCAGCAGGAAGGAGGGATTAGCATGTGCAAAGGCCCTAAGGCAGGGGAAACAGCAGGTTGGAAGACCTGGAAGAAAGCTATCCCTCCTGAGGGTTAGAGGGTTGAGAGTGAAGGGGAGCTGAGCTGGGGTGGCTAAAACTAGAGAGGTAGGTCAGGGCTGGGCCATGCATGGGTAGAAATTTTGTGTTAGAAATTTGGTCTTTATCTAAATAGGAAGCCATCAGGAACAACACGATTCAATTTGTGTCTTGAAAAGATGCCGCACAGGGAAAACTTGGGAAGGGGCCAGTGTGGATGCAGGGTGACTAGTAAAGAGGCTTTTGCAGTGAGTAAGGCAAACTGGTGGTAACTTGGACTAGGGTGTTCTACAGTGGAATTAAATAAGTGAGTTTTTAAGATATGCTTCAAAGATGGCCTCCCAGGGATCTCTCGCTTGAACATTAAGGAGAATCTGTAGTCTGAGATGGGCAGTGACGGCTGGAAGACCTCCTAGTGCTGGTGCACTCTGCTTAGGTCCAGGCCCCATGAGAAGAGAAGTCGAGGCTCTCATACCTCAGATGACTATGCAGCCTCTCCTGGGTCTACTGGGTAGCAGAAGAGCCTCTGCAGCCACAGGCAGGTCAGAGGGCATCAGTCTTAGTACTCTTTCATTCTCAGTGGGTCAGGAAGGAGGAGGGGGACATGGCCATATTTGCATTTCAGAAATTCCATAGTGGCAGGAGGAGGAGAGATTTGGAAGACATGAGGAGGGAGATGGGGTGACATTGGGAGCTTTGAAGGGACGCAGGTAAGATAGAAGGGCATGAACCAAGCAGGATGGTTGTAATGAGGTGCCAGGGGAATGGGTTGGGAGTAGGGATGAAGAGTTGAGAGAAATTCAAGAGATAAAATGACTTGGTTAAACTGCCTACCAGGAAAGGAGAACCAGGATTAGGAAGAAAACTTGAGTTTAGGTGGGGTTGAGTTTGAGATGCCTCTGGGACCTCCAGGTAGAAACACTGGCAGTTGGATCAATAGATCTGAAGTCTGGAAAAAACAGTAGGCTGGAAATGAGAGTAGCAGAAGTGTAGATGTGAATTCACGTCTAGACCCTAGGCAGATGCATGGAATGAGAGAAAAGGGGCAGAGCCATTGAGTCTTATGAGAGATGGGTGGGCAAGGGGGAGCCGGAGGACACTGGAAAGGGGCGATCAAAAAGGTGGGAAGGAATACAGGGAGTGGTAAGTTTTGAACGTCAAGGGATGTTCAGGTTTTGTAAAGGAGGGAGTGGTCTTGTGTCATCAGGCCACAGGAGAGGTGGTGAGACAGGAAAAGTGTCTGTTGGATTTGACAGTTAGGAGGTCACTGGTGACCTTATCAATTTCAGTTGAGTGGTTCAGACCGAAGCCAAGTTATGGTGTGTTACAGAGTGAGGGGAGATGACAGAGATAGTCTTCTGGAAGGGGAGGCTACTCTTGCTGAGAGAGAAGTTGCAGGATCACGGTTGATAATACTATTGACCACTTACTGTGTGCCGGGCTCACAGTAGGCACAGGCACACATAAGCATAGCGCACTGAGAATTCATTTTTTCATTCAGTCCTCACCATATCCCTATTATTGCTATTTTGCAGATGAGGAATTCAAGGCTTAGTAAAATGCAGGAATAAGCTCAAGGTTACCCAGCTGGGAATGGAAAGACAGCAAGAAGAGAATGCAGGGTTGATGAGGGCTTAGCTTTTCTGAGTAGGTGAACCTGGGCATGCTCCTGCACTGGAGGGAGGGGGAGCAGGTAGGTGGACTGGGAGGGGGTCCTTGCCGGAGTGGCATTCCTGGGGAGATGAAGGGGATGGACTCTGGATCTGATGCAGGTGTAGCCACAAGTGATGCGAGATTCTGTGCCCTGAAGGCTCTTTTTTCACTCTGTGTAGTAGGAGCGTGAGGGGGACTATGGCAGGAGCCGTGGGGAGTAAGGATGAAAGCTGTCAGCAATGAGGCGGCCCTCCTGGAGCTGAGGCCTAGGAATGAGGAGGGGAAAAGGCTGCTGGTTGTGTTCCCAGAGTGGAGGTGGTGGTGAGGACTTGGGGATGTAGAAGGTGCTGTGACAGGAGGGGACAAAGTTCAGGCCTGGGGTCTGGGCAGGGTAGAGAAAAAAACTGATTTAGGAAGGGGGTGATGGGTTTGAGGGAGATGGAGGGATGGGAAGTTGAAAAGTGCAGTGAGGTGAACTGAAAAGACAGTGGGCAGTGGTGGGGGGATCTCCAAGGTGGAGCTGTTCTGAGGGTTGACAAGGTCAGGTGTGTGGTTGCTGGAGGGTAGCTGAGGGTGAGCAGAGGGGGTCACTGAACATATGAGAGTCCAGGTGAACAGGCAGGATGGTGAAACCCCCCTGGGTAAATGGCAGGGGTGGGAGAGGAGAGGGAGATTTAGGCAGGTCCCTTGGTTTTAAGCGAATGAGAGGGCATGACCGGGAAGTCCAAGCTACCAAGGACAGAGGCCTGTGCAGCCCAGAGGACAGGCTATGGCTCCAGGTAGGTGGGGCCTTACTGAAGGCTCATTGAGTTCCTAGTAACAGGAACCCGTTTCAGTCAGTTTAAGTAGAAAAGGGGATTTGTTTACAGGGTCTGGCCTGTCTGATAGAATCCAAAGACAAGGACCAGAACGCCTTTTGGACTCGGGTTCTTTTCTGTCTTCTAGCCGGGTTCATTCTTCTCTCCTCCTGCAAATGGGCTTCCTCTGCTTCTCCATTCCAGCAGAGGGTGTCCACCCACACCCACCCCAAAGACTGGCCACAGACAGACCCACTCTTACATTAGGTCATTATTCTCAGGGAAGTTTCTGGTTGGGCTGGCTTGGCTCAGGTAATCCTGGTAGTGATGTCAGTCTTAATGGCCCTGGGGGAGAGGAGGTAGCTCATGCAATAGAAACTGGCTTGTAGGGCCTTGCCCCTGTGAGTCTGAGGGTACCAGGAGAACAGTTCTTGGAGAAAGGTGGGAGTTATTACTGACTGGACAGGTACCCCAAGGGTTGTCTGCTAAATGAAAGGGATGGGCAGGTTTCCTCTAGGACAGGAGCCGAGGGGAATCTGAGCAGGGAGGGGAATTTGTTCTCCTTAGCAGCCAGGCTTCCAGGGGACACAGTGGGCTGGGGGGATGGGTCAATGGCGGAGGCTGCCCACCATGGGAGGGCCGAGGGTGAGCATCTGAGGGCCTCACTAGCTTCCGAGTGTGGATACTGCTAGCTGAGACCCCAGATGGTGCCCAGAGCCTAGGAGACAGCAGGCCGAGGGCCTTGCTCGGGATGCAGGTTGGGAACATCTCTTGAGGCAGTGGACACAGGCTGATCACTGCTTGGGCCTGGTCTGGTGCTGGTTGCCCTTTAGCTCTGTGAGTGTAGAGCCACATGTGAAACCACTGAGTCCACAGGCCCTCCAGAGCACAAACTCAGCCCACACTGCCTGGGTGCAGGCTTCGTTCTGTCATCTGCTGTGTCACCTTGAGCAGGTCTGTGCCTCAGTTTTTTTATCTGTATGATAGGGTTAATGTAGGACCCACCTCTTAGAGTTTTTGTGAGAGTTAAATGAGTTAATAAATGTAAAAGGCTTGGATTGGTTTAGGCACAAAATACTAGCTATTAATCTGCTGCTGCCAACATGAAGACTGGCAGGCGTGAGCCCTCCAGCCTGTGCTTCTGAAAGATGTTGCCCACATATAAAGAGGTCAGTTAGAACTTCACAGATGGCATTGAGCTGGGTCTAAAAGCCTCATGGTAGGCTTTCCCCATGGACGAGGAGGGAGGATGTGCTCTCTGTCCCAGGGGTTGAGCTGGGGAGACACAGCACTGCCTGCTCAAAGATAGTATATCCCCTCCCCAGCTCAGTCCTCACCCTTTGGATCTCAGCTTAAACCTCCGCTTCTTAGGGGAGACTTCCTCCTCACACCCTCCCCACTAGGGCAAGTCCCCAGTTCTGTTTAGCAGGGTGAGGAGGAAGGCAAAGTTTTATAAAATACTTTAGTACAAAGATTTGGCTTCTTACATTGTATCTTTTTCACTTCACTAAATATTGGTTGTAGTTGAATAATGGATATTTTAGTTGAAGTCTGGCTAACCGAGTCCTCATTGTGTCAAAAATTGCCATGGTCCTCGTGCCTAGTTGTTGGATGTCGGTCTGTCCCTGCCAGTCTTGGTAGAAAGGCTGGAATCCAAGGGTGTGCGTGGAGACCTCCCCAGCCCGACTTTTTGCAGTGTGGGCTGTGCGTTTGTTTTGTGTTGTTGTCTCCCACTGGACTGTGACCTCTGTGAGGACATTGAAGGTGTCTGTTTGGTCAGCGTGTTCTCCCCATATCTGACATAGTTGGTGCTCGATGCATGTTTGTCGGATGGATGAACGAGCAGGTGTGAAATCCCATCCTGTCAAGGGAGCCCATAGTGCTGAAGACATTGTGGGGCTGAGAGGCAGGAGTGTCTGTATGTCTGTCTGAGTTTCCTGGGCGGAAGCTGAGAAGAGAGTGAACATAGCCTGTGGAAATGACGTGGCCAGAGCCCAGCTGAGCCTCAAGTCTCCTGCCCATAAACAAGTCTGTCTGATGATGTCGGCCTGGATGCTGACTATCCCTTTCCCTGTGTGCTTCCTTCCCCAGGTCCCGCTGAGGAGCCACCTCCCAGTGCACCCCAGCCTCCTGCAGAGCCACCAGCTGGGCCCCCAGCCCCAACCCCCCGCCCTGATGAGCGCCCCTCTTCTCCTATTCCTCTTCTGCCCCCACCCAAGAAACGCCGGAAAACCGTCTCCTTCTCTGCAGTGGAGGAGGTGCCAGCCCCAGAGCCTCCCCCAGTTGCCCCACCACAGACCAAGTCTCCTGGCCCAGTCTGTCGCAAAGTCCCCCGGCCCGTGGAGCGGACCATTCGCAACCTGCCCCTGGACCATGCGTCCCTAGTCAAGAGCTGGCCCGAGGAGGTGCCCCGAGGAGGTCGGAGTCGTGCTGGAGGCCGAGGCCGCGCCACCGAGGAAGAAGAGGCTGAGCTAGGGACAGAAGTAGACCTGGCAGTACTGGCCGACCTGGCCCTGACTCCAGCTCGCCGTGGTCTGGCTACCCTGCCTACTGTTGACGACTCAGAGGCCACAGAGACCTCGGACGAGGCGGACCGCCCCAGCCCCCAGCTCTGTCACATCCTTCTGGAGCATAACTATGCCCTGGCCATTAAGCCCACGCCCTCCACACCAGCCCCTCGGCCCCCGGAGCCGGTCCCTGCCCCTGCAGCTCTCTTCAGCTCCCCAGCGGATGAGGTCCTGGAGGCCCCTGAGGTGGTGGTGGCTGAGGCGGAGGAGCCAAAGCAGCAGCAGCAACTGCAGCAGCAAGAGGAGGGTGAGGAAGAGGAGGAAGAGGAAGAGGAGGAGTCCGAGTCCTCTGAGAGCAGCAGCAGCAGTAGCAGCGATGGGGAAGGGGCTGGTCGGCGGCGCACCCTCCGCTCCCACACCCGCCGCCGGCGGCCTCCACCCCCACCCCCACCCCCGCCACCCCCCAACTTTGAGCCCCGCAGTGAGTTTGAGCAGATGACCATCCTGTATGACATTTGGAACTCGGGCCTGGACTTGGAAGACATGAGCTATCTGCGGCTCACGTATGAGCGGCTGCTACAGCAGACAAGCGGGGCTGACTGGCTCAATGACACCCACTGGGTCCATCACACGAATATCCTGAGCCGCAGAGGCCACCTGCCCAGGCCCAGGGGGTGGGGGCGGCCTTCCCTGGGGTCACGCAGCCAGGCAGTGTCCTCGGATCCCTCCTGCTGTCTGTCTGTCTCCCTCCCTGTCTGTTCAGCTTGCTATGCCACACTCAGCCGGGGCACCTCCTCTGGTTCTGAGCCATCATCTCGCTCTGCCTCATGCCTTTTTCTGCCTCCCAAAGCTTTTCTGGGACTTCACTCCTGTCGCGCACTGAGCATGCTTGGCAGCGAAGGCCAGCCACCCTTTCCTGGGGCTGGCCTGGGGTGGATGGAGAGGAGCAGGTCTTGGGGATCTGGCCAGTGAAGACCCTGTTCTCTTCCTTAACACCCTGCACTCACCAACCTGAGCACTCCAAAACGCAAGCGGCGGCCCCAGGACGGGCCCCGAGAACACCAGACAGGCTCAGCCCGCAGCGAAGGCTACTACCCCATCAGTAAGAAGGAGAAGGACAAGTACCTGGATGTGTGCCCTGTCTCGGCCCGGCAGCTGGAAGGAGTGGACACTCAGGTAGGGCCCTGCCCTGATGCCTGGCCCACTGCATCCTCTTCCCGTACTTCTGTCACTCACTTCTTTCTCCTGCTTCTCACAGGGGACTAACCGTGTGCTTTCCGAGCGCCGGTCTGAGCAGCGGCGGCTACTGAGTGCCATCGGCACCTCTGCCATCATGGATAGTGATCTGCTAAAGCTAAACCAGCTCAAGGTGAGGGGTGGGACTTGGGAAGGGTAGGAGGCTCGGCGAAAAGGCTGGAGCAAGGGGAGCTGCCATGTAGGCTTGTGTGGTCCCCCGGGAGTAGAGGTGGGGGGCAAGTGGCCAGAACACCCTCTGCCCTGGGAGGTCTGTAGGAACCGTGAGGAGCTGGGTCGTGGGAGGCATCCAGCAGTACAGTCCCTTCTGTCCCCCAGTTCCGGAAGAAGAAGCTCCGGTTTGGCCGAAGCCGGATCCATGAGTGGGGTCTGTTTGCCATGGAACCCATCGCAGCTGACGAGATGGTCATCGAGTACGTGGGTCAGAACATCCGCCAGGTGAGGCCCCACACCAGCCCCAGTCTGGCTTCTGATCTGACAGCAGCGTAGGATGCTCACTTGAGTGCCATTTGGCCTCTGGATAAAGCCTCACATGCCCTCCCAGCTCCAAGACGTAGCCAGTGAAACCAGCCTCCTCCCAGTCCTAGTAAACAGATGTCCTGCCCCAGCAGGACACAAGACTGATGCCGTCTCTCCCCTTAAGGATCCAGGGAGTGGGGGAGACGGGCATTGGACACATAGCAACGCCAAAGAATAGTGTTTGGTATTAAAGGGGAGCTTGCGGAGGCGGGGCCGGTGGGAGCACACACTGAGGGGACCGGAGACCCCTTGGGGATGGTGACGGTTAAGGAAGAGCTGAAAGATGAACTGGAAGAGCTGGAAGATGAACTCACAGGCCCAGGTGAGGGGAAGTGTGCTCCTGGTTGTGGGACAGCACGTGCAGAAGCCCGGAGGTCATGTAGTCATTTGAGGGCAAGGAGGTCAGGATGGCTGGTTAGAAAACTAGGGCCAGTGGCAGCAGTGTGTAGCTGGGGACTTGGGGGGACTGCACGGAGCTCGGGAGCTTAGGAATCCGTTTGAGCCTGTAGTGGGAGAAGCGGAAAGGGGGAAGCTTCAGCAGAAGAGGACTGGGGAGTTAGAAGCACCCCGTGGCTGCGGTGTGAAGAAAGAGCTAGTCTAGTCTGACACCAGTGTAGGGGCTATTGCAGAGATCCAGGCCAAGGTGAGGGTGGCCTGGACTAGGCAGTGGCTGTAGAGGTGACAGAGGAGTCTGTGAGGGTAGGTCGTTGGCAGGGCCGGGCAGTGAGTTGGCTTTGGAGTCGTAGGGCAAGGGAGGATGTGAGGCCCTTTCTCAGGGCACTGCCATTAGGAGTATGGCGGGGCCCCAGTGCGATGGGACGAGGAGTTAGGAACACGTGGTCAAGAAGAGTTCCAATCTAGACATGTGAGGTTGCAGTGCCCCAGGGACATCTAGCGGGTGACGCCCAGCAGCTCCACTGAGGTGGATTTTGGCTGGAAGTGGAAGTTTGGGAGGAGTCCCCACCACTTTGCTGGTGGTTAAAGCTCTGGAAGGGAGTGACATCACCCAAGGAGAGAGTGTAGAGGGCTCATTGTCCCATTTTTAGGGAAATAGGAGTTGCTCCTTTTCGCACAAGGGTTTGGGCCCTAACACGGACAACCTGTCATTTACATTGGCCAGTGGCAGCCAGTGGGTGCCTAATTTGGAGAGAGGGTCCTAGGAGAAGAGATGGGTAGGTTCAGTCCATGAAATGGCCACTGTCATTTCAGGAACTGCCCCAGCCCCACAGCAGTCTGGGGGCCCCATAGAGACCAGGCAGATGCTCTCGGAGGAGCCAGTGGCTCTTCTGCCCAGTGCACCAGTGCCAGTTTCACTGGAGTCCTCCTATGGGTGACTTAATCAGCATGGGTGGCCAGAAGGGGGAGAGCCCCAGGAAGCAAAGTCAAGGAGGAGTCAGTGCCTTGGGCTAGTGGCAGCCAGAGGCAGAACTACAGGTCCAGGCCTGCTGGATCTGGCCTCTGGGGTGATAGGGCAGGCTGTCCAGAGGGGTTTGGGGGGCAGGCCTGGTCTGGCAGGAAGTGGGCTCAGGGCAGATCTGTGACTATTGCATCTCATCTGCCAGATGGTGGCCGACATGCGGGAGAAGCGCTATGTCCAGGAAGGCATTGGCAGCAGCTACCTGTTCCGGGTGGACCACGACACCATCATCGATGCTACCAAGTGTGGCAACCTGGCAAGGTTCATCAACCACTGCTGCACGGTGCGCTGGGATCCAGCCCAGAGGGTGGGGTGGGGGGCCAGGGGCTGGGCCACCGCTTACACTGCCCTCCCTCCCTCCCGCAGCCCAACTGCTATGCCAAGGTGATCACCATAGAGTCACAGAAGAAGATCGTGATCTACTCCAAGCAGCCCATCGGCGTGGATGAGGAGATCACCTACGACTACAAGTTCCCACTGGAGGACAACAAAATCCCGTGTCTGTGCGGCACTGAGAGCTGCCGCGGCTCCCTTAACTGAGGTGGGGCAGGACTGGCGCCCACACTCCTATTTATTCCCCCTCAGTGCCCTGAGCTCCCAGCACCCCCCAGCCTTAGTGGGTTCAGCAGGGCCCACGTGCCCTCATGTCCAGGTATGGGGTTGGGGGACCTCAAGCCCAGCCAGGGAGCCTCAGCCCCTTGAGGCAGCTTCTGCCTCCCCTGTCACCCTTACCCACCGCCCCCTAATTTTTTTTCTTTGCGGAGAAGAAGCTGTAAATGTTTTGTAGCTGCCAGCAGCTGTTTCCTGTGGAAACCTGGGGTGCCGGCCTGTACAGATCCTGTTCTTGGGGGGCTACACAGCCCTCTTGCTTTGTGTTAATGGGGAATTCCTCTTGTGCCCTGCGTGCACCCCTCCCCAGTTTAGGGGTCTCTAGGGGCAGTGGCCATGTTCTCCCCCTGGGGGGGGCCCTGCGCCCCCAGTCCTGGGGACTCCGTGCCTGGAACCCTGCCTCATCTTCTGTTCCTGCCAGACCCTGTGGGCCACTCTCCCACCCTGGTATTGGGAGGCTCTAGCCAGGCCAGGATGGTGGGGGGTGGGCCCTCCCTGTTGGGCTGGATTGTATATATGTTAATAGCGCAAACCCAACGCCACATTTTTATAATTGTGATTAAACTTTATTGTACAAAAGTGCTTGGTCAGTGTCTTTGGGGGAAGGGCAGGGTGGGAATGGGGGTTGAGGACACAGAGGGTGGGGCAAGATGAAGAGAGGGAAAAGTGGGTGGCGTGAAGTTTGGGGTGGGTAGAGGGGCCTTCACGCAAGAGCCTGGACCTTCAGATCCAGCGCCATTGCTTTGGACCACCTGACAGGCTATGGTGACATGACAGCAATGCCAGAAATCCCCCACCAGTGCCAGCCAGAGCCGCATCAAGGTCAGGCCTCCCTTCCCTTCCCTTCCCTTCCCAGAACCACAGCTGCTGCTGGGCCTCTGGCCTCCTGGGAAATCCAGCAGGAGGGAAGGACTGAGGTCATGCAGTGGGGATGAGGTCACCCTGCCAGCTCTATCCTGCAGCCCCCAAACCCCTCAGGGCGCACCCCGCAGGTTCTGGCCTCCCTCTCCCCAAGTCCTTGGCTGGAACCAGATGCCTGTGGAGCACAGAGTGGCCACCAGGGGGCGCCCTGTGGCAAGCGTGGGGGGCCAGGGGTGGAGGCTGGGCTTTTCCTGGAATGGCCAGGAGGGAGGAGGAGGAGGAACAAGCGGAAGGGGAAGGTGCATTGGCCAGCTAGGCCAGGAGACAAGCAGAGAGCCCCTCCTGTGGCTGTCCTGTCCAGGCGCCCTGGGATAGTGGCTGCAGGTAGGCAGAGGTGCTGCCAGGGCCCAGGCAGCCCTTCCCTCAGTCCCAGCCCTTCCCACCTTCCCAAGCCCTTCCTCCCCACCCCCTGCCTCCCCTCTCTGCTTTTTTGCCCCAAAACTTCTCCCCAACCGCCTCAAGCCCTGACCCCTTCCTGCACCCCAAGCCCTTACCTGTCTGAGTAACTCAACAGTTGGCAGGGTCAGGTGGCAGGTGGCCTGGCTGCTGCACCCACAGCTGCTGCCTCCAGGACCAGCTTTGCCCCCTGCCCCCTCTTTCATCACTGTGCTCCCATACGCCCTCCAGGAGTAACAGGTGGCTGGGCAGAGGGCAGCAGGCAACTCAGGTGAGCCAAGTTCTCTCCCCCCAGCTGGGCATGGCCAACTCTGCACAGGCCCAGAAGCTGGTATACCTGGTCACAGGTGGCTGTGGCTTCCTGGGGGAGCATGTGGTGCGAATGCTGCTGCAGCAGGAGCCCCGGCTCCGTGAGCTGCGAATCTTTGACCTACACCTGGGCCCCTGGCTGGAGGAACTGAAGACAGGTGATTGTGGGGAGAGGCGCGAATGGACTCTTCCCCAGCCCCTCCCAAGGCAGGATCCCCACCCCTGTGGTGGAAAGGATGATGCCTGTTTCTGTTCCCCAGTCCTCGTGAGTGGGATGGGTGAGTCACACTGGGAACATGAGGCTCCCAAGGGCACAGGCTGAATGCAGCCGCTGGCTGATGGCCGGAGCTGACATTGCCGTGGCCGCCTCCATGCCCCACCAGGGCCTGTGCAGGTGACTGCCATCCAGGGGGATGTGACCCAGGCCCACGAAGTGGCAGCAGCTATGGACGGAGCCCATGTGGTCATCCACATAGCTGGGCTGGTGGATGTGTTCGGGAGGGCCAGTCCCAAGACCATCCACGAGGTCAACGTGCAGGGTAAGGTGCTCACGGTCTGTTCTAATCATGCATGTAACACCCTCACCCCTTTGGCCTTGAACTCTGTGATTCTCCTGTGACAACCAGTCCTGCCAACAGCCCTGGCCCCACTCTCACCCGCCCCGTTGTGGTTTTCCCTGGAGCTGGGATGGAATGGGAAAGACGCAGAGAGGAGGGAAGTCTCAGCTTGACTATGTCCCCCTCCTCCGCCAGGCACGCAGAACGTGATCGAGGCTTGTGTGCAGACTGGGACACAGTTCCTGGTGTACACGAGCAGCATGGAAGTTGTGGGGCCTAACATCAAAGGCCACCCCTTCTACAGGTGAGCTGAGGTCCCCTCAATACTTTAAGGGTTATTTCCCCTCAGCACTGAGTCTTCCCTCTCCCCCTTCTAGGGGCAACGAGGACACCCCGTATGAAGCAGTGCACAAGCACCCCTATCCTTGCAGTAAGGCCCTGGCTGAGCGGCTGGTCCTGGAGGCCAATGGGAGGAAGGTGAGCCCGGGGAGATGAGGCAGAGACGGCGCTCTGCCTGGACGCTGTCCCTCTGTCTTCAGCCTGAGGAGGGCTGGGGCACAGGCAAGCCCCTGAGCCCTAGGTCTTAGCAGTGCCTGCCTTTTGCCACCAGGTCCGCGGGGGGCTGCCCCTAGTGACATGTGCCCTGCGTCCCACGGGCATCTACGGTGAAGGCCACCAGATCATGAGGGACTTCTACCACCAGGGCCTGCGCCTGGGGGGTCGGCTCTTCCGGGCCATCCCAACCTCTGTGGAGCATGGCCGGGTCTATGTGGGTGAGGACTGGACTAGGCAGTGGGAGGCTGTTGGTGCTGCTCTGGGCATAGGCGGGACCCACATGGCTCTGGGAGGGGCAGAAAAAAGTCACCAAGGTACACTATGATTATGTGGATGTTGTCTGCATGCATGGGCAGCAGAAGAAACAGTATCTATCCACGCAAGTTGGGAAGGCCGACATAAAAAGTGTGTCACAGGCTAAGAAGAGGATTGCAGCTATGGGAGCAGCAGTTCCCCAGAAGAGGAGAGGGGCAGTGTCTATACAACACTAGAAGAAGGAGTGGCATGTATATAGACTGGCCCAGGAGAGCAAGTGGCTACAAGGGCTAGGGAAAAAGCAGCCTTTACCAGGCTGTCGTGAAGATGTGGGCAGCATCCACATAACGGTGGCTTGTGCCTGGGCGGGCCCAGGAGAGCAGCACCTACACGATCCCGAGGGTACTCAGGGGCTTGTCCACGTCACTTCCCCCACCGCAGGCAATGTGGCCTGGATGCATGTGCTGGTGGCCCGGGAGCTGGAGCAGTGGGCAGCATTAATGGGTGGCCAGGTGTACTTCTGCTACGACAAATCGCCCTACAAGAGCTACGAGGACTTCAACATGGAGTTCCTGGGGCCCTGTGGACTGCGGCTGGTAGGCGCCCGCCCGCTGTTGCCTTACTGGCTGCTGGTGCTCCTGGCCACCCTCAACGCCTTGCTGCAGTGGCTGCTGCGGCCACTGCTGCTCTACGCACCCCTGCTGAACCCCTACACGCTGGCAGTGGCCAACACCACCTTCACCGTCAGCACCAACAAGGCTCAGCGCCATTTTGGCTATGAGCCCCTGTTCTCATGGGAGGACAGCCGGACCCGCACCATTCGCTGGGTGCAGGCCCTTGAGAGCTCAGCCCAGTGATGGCGGAGGTGGGGCCTGGAGGCCCATCATGGCGCATCCACCCAGGCCCTGAGCCCTCACACCCTGGATGGAGAGGGACGGTTGCATTCGAGAGTGGGCGGCAGGGCTCCGGTGCCAGACTCACTGTGCTGGAACCCTCACACTTAAAATCCACAAGCCTTGGGACACTGTGTTGTGTCCTGACGCCTCCAAGGTCTAGGGCAGGGTTTGGGGACAGGAGCCCCAGGTCCAGTGCTGGTTGGCGGGGGTCTGATCCCCTGATCCCCTTCCCTCCCCACTTCTGGCCTTCTGAGCAGGAAGTGGGCAGAGGTTCTATAGGTTTCCTGCTAGGTTCGGAGTGAGGAGGCCTCTCTGACTACTCCCACCTTCGTCCCTCCTTAGGGGGTTATATTTCCATTATTTTAAAAAACGTTTCAACTTCAGACATTTATCTTTCAGTTCCCTTCAGTGAAAACTGAGAAAATCTGTATGTTTTCACTTCGTCACCCAAATCCAGTTACTGCGGTGGTATTAGCACTCTGCTGAGGACGCCCTAGTAATGCTGTCCCTGCCGAGCCCTGGATTAAAATCCTTATCGAAGCCTGTGTCCATGTGTCTGTCCAGCTCTCCCGCCCACCCTCACCACGTGTCTCCCCCTCCCACGGCGCCCGTCCCATGTGGGGACAGAAGAAAGTGAGCACACAGCACGCCCGCTGTTGGATTGGTTGCTATTTCTCCCGTCCCACGGGGCCCGACCCGGCCCGGGGTGGGGGTGGGGGGCTCTGGGGACAGGACATGCAGGGCTGGGGGTGGGGGGCAGAATTTTCCTGTGTTTTATCCATTTGCAACTTGGTCACCAATAGAGAGAAATGGGGCTCTGAGGACTAACAGGAGGGGGGCCTGGCTCTGGGCCCCCAGCCAGGCCCCAGAAGTCCTGTCCCCTCTGGGCAGTTGGGGGAGAGAGCTCTAGAAACCAACGGAGAAACAGAGAAGGGGGCAGGGGCTCATGTCAGCAAACACGGCTACATCACGTGACACGCCAGCGACACAGAAACACACGCCAACGCACACGGCTGCACAGCGGGCAGGGGGTGGGTGGGGGAGAAGGGAGCCGGGGGCCACCCATCTTGTCCTCTGCGGGGCAGGCTGGGGGGGCAGGGTGAATGCATAGAACACATCATGTGTACACGCTCAAGGCGTGGCAAGAGCGTGCATCGACCCACGGGCACATGGGGTGGACACGCAGTGTGCTTGCTGAGAGGCAGGGACAGGGAGAGAGAGGGAGGGGAAGCATTGAGCCCTGACCAGGCCCGGGACCACCCACAGGGCACACTTGGGCTTGATGGTTGTAGGTGCGTGGAGGGTGGGCAGCACACATTTGTCCGAGAGCATGCAAAAGACACCAGCCTCCAGACGACACTCCAGGACACACACAGAGACAGCAGCCAACAAGCAAACACATCGTATGACGTGTGGGACTTGTAGAAAGTTGGGGCACAGCAGACCCTCGGGGATCCCCTGGTCCACCTGAGGCCCAGAGATGGGCAGCTGTGGGCCACTCGAGGAGGTAGGAGCAGCACTCCAGCCACGGCTCCACCCTTCTCTTGTGGCCCCAAGGCTGTGAGACTTCCGGAAACACCTGGGCTAAAAGGGGGTCCTGTCTGGGCGGCAGGAAGGAAGAAGGGGGTTGGGCACTGGGGCCTACTCTGATGTCTCCAAAGAAGCCTGAGATTGGAGCAGGAGGGCTGCGGCCAGACTCCAGGGCAGACTTCCTGTCCTGCAGCAGGGCATTCTGGGAATGGACAGGCAGGCTCCCCACCTCAGGACAGCTGACCTGGGGCTTACATACATGTGGCCGCACGGACACACACACAGACTAGGTGGGCAGGACCCACACAGCCAGGCAGGGGAGAGGTTGGTTGGCTGTCTGGGCCGGGGTGAGGGTGAGAGGGGTGTTATGTTCCGGGAGGTCACATCCGTATGGCCTCACACACACACAAACACACACACACACGCACTTCACATGATGCAGGACCCTTCACCCTGAGCACATGCATGTCCCACCCCAGGGCAGGGCACATTCAAGTACTTATGTGTTCAACCTACATGCTCCTGGGCCATGGAGGGGGACTTCTAACATTGTCATTTCTTCCATGCGCCTCCTACCTGCCACCAAACACACAAACCCGCAACGCGTGCCCATGTTGTCTACACAACAGGGGAGGAGCTAGCCCTTTCCTCACCATCAGGAACCTGAGCCTGTACCCCACCTTCAATCCCCCCCAGAGTGGGGAGCAGCCATTGCTGACGTTTCGGCAGAAGAGGTGTCCAGGAGATGGGCCCCAGGACCTCACCCACCCTGAGTGGCCACTGCCACACTGACCATTCCAGTACATCCGAAATAAACAGTTCCCGAACCCAAGTTCCCTGAGGCAGAGCTCAGAGCATCCAATGGGGCAGTGGGGACCAACATCGACCTTCCCCAGGTCTGGGCTGAGTGTGTGAGGAAGGGGCAATGCCCTGGTTTTCCATCTGTCTGGGGCAGCCCTTGACATCTCGCCTCATCAGTAACATCCCTGCAAACAGCCCTTCCAGGAGGCACTCCCGTGCTAATGGGTGCGGGCCTGTACAGGCGCCACGACAATGTTAGCATGCATGGTGTGCGTGTGTGCGCCTGGGTGCGGCCACCTTCACGGGACCTCCTCAGCCTTGGCGCGTGTCAGCACACTGCGGTGTACCAGCTTTCGCGGGCTCAGGCCTATCCTCGGGCAGAGACGGAGAAAGATAAGGGTCTGGGCATGTGCGCACAGGGGCTCTGAGGCCTTGCAGGGCGGCAAGCTCCAGTTGCGCAATGTTGATGTAGCAGTGTGTGCGGCCATACCAGAGATCAGTCAGCAGCTCTGGGGAGAGAGGGATGGGGCAAATAAACCTGGATAAACAAACCCAGATGGGGCACATGTCCTTAAATAAACATGTGTATGTATAATACACAGGGGGCAGAAACACACTATGTAGAAGGCCCCTAAACGCACGCGCGCACGCACACACACACTCACGCAGCCATATTCTAGGTAGCATAGAAGTACAAATTTCTGTGTCCACTCAAAACCGATGTCCAGTCCACAGTGTGGAGGGCTCCATCTGAGAAGTCCCATCAACACTTTGGGCACATCCTGGCGATATACACACACACACACACACACACACACACACACACTCACCCCCTCCCCAGGACACTGGGGTAACGAAGCCAGGAGAGTTTGTCCTATACCACAGGGAGTGTCTGCCGTGGCCTGTGTGTACCGGGCCCACCCGGATCCTCTGAGATGTGAGTGTGAATGTCTGCACACACACAACCTGCCCCATTTGTAGCAGACACAGGGGAGGGGCTATCCATGAAGAAACTGCTGTTGAATTAGGTTCAAACACTCAAAACACAAAATTCCATGTACACACATTGGGTGTCCACAGACCTGTGGTCTCACACGTACACACACATACCTCTTCACAGAAGACAGGGAGGGGCACGGCGGGCTGCTGTGTTGTACTCGGCCACAGTCTACACAACAACCCAGGTGAAGGGGGAAGCTCAGACCACACACAGACTTGAGGTGGGGGGTGAGGGGGTGATTTGGTGCATCTACACACATCTGCACACGTACACACACGCTGGGGTGTCCACACGTCTCGAGCATGTGCCGGCGGCATGCATGTTGGTGTGCATGTGTAATCACGCCTGCTGCTATCTACGTGCGGGGGCAGGGGGTGGTCCATGGCAGGGTGAGGTCCAGGGACTCCAGGGTCTGCTGTGGGGTGAGGGAGGGGGTGGGGCTGCCTGGGTCTGGGTTGGGGTGAGCTGGAGCAGGGCTGGAGTGAGAGGGGCGGTGGGGGTATTGCTCCCGATGTGGTGGAGGAGGGCTCTGGGAGAGAGAAGGGGGGCCTACAAGCCCAGCGTCCCCCCAATGGATGACGCCAAGACCACCCCCAGCACCACACAGCAAATGATGATCATGATTTTCTTCTGCAGACAGAAAGAGGAGAGAGAGAAACAGAGTGATAAAGAGAGTGAGAGAGAGAGAAACCGACAAACAGAACGTGGGGAAAGATGGGGAGGAGGATGTGAGGAAAAGGAGGGAGAGAAAACAGAAAAAGGAAGAGGTCAGAGCCAGAGATAAGAACCCGCACCCGATTTCACCACTGGCCTCAGCCCAGCCCCCCGCAGGCTCCCAGCCCAGCTGCCCCCAGGCCACCTGCCCTGCTCACCCTCCGCGCCTTGCTCTGATATTTCACAGCTTTCTTGGTGTCGGACACGGCTCGCTCCACATAGTCCACGGAATGTTCCACGTTGTACTCAATGCGGTCAATCATCTCACCCTGCACACAAAGGAGATGCACACAGGGAGAGATGGGGGTTGGGCCAGAAGAGGAAACATCCGGCCCGAGGGAGGTGCCCAGGGTGGCGCGGCAGAGCCAGTACCTGGCTTTCCACAAGCATGGCCATGTCCACAAACATGTCGTGCAGCTCACGGATGCTGGTTTCCAGTTTGATGATCTCGTTGTGCCTCGTCTCGATTTCGTTCAGTGCCTGCTTCGTCATCTGTGAGTCCATTTTGATCTAGGGTGATGGGAGGAGAACAGTGATCACCCTTCACCCCCACAAGAGCTTCGACTCTGCGGCCCGCATGTCTGTGTTCAAATCCCAGTGTCATCTGCTAGCTGTAAACTTGGGTGAATTAGTCAACCTCTCTTGGCCTCGGTTTCCCCACCCAGAAAACGTGGGTGATAACAATGCCCAGCTCCTAGGGTGGTTGTGAAAATTGGGCAAGTTACTATGTGTACGTTGATCAGAACAGTGCCTGGCACATGATAAGCACTAAAGAGAAGTTTGTAAAATGACAAGAAATAAAACTTGTCCGGAGCCCACCACCTTACCGCAGGGCTTCCTCCATCACACACACAAGCGAAGCCCAGGGCAGAGAGATGGCCAAGGCAGACAGGGTGATGGAAGAGAGTGGAGAGCAGAGAAGGCCCGGGTGAGAGGGTGGTGTGCTCACGGGGCACCCGTGTGAGATGAGGTGGCATAATAAAGACATGCACCGCGTCCCTCAAGAGTCAGTGGGGGAGAGACTCCAACCAGTCAGATACACCTCCTCCACACAAACACCTGGCCTGAGCTAGGCCACTCACTTCCCAAACCACTCTGTTGACCACATCGAGCCACTCCTCCTCTGCTCTTAAGCCTGCCAGGGCTCCCCACTACCCTAAGCTACACACCTTCTTTTTAGTAGTCAAGGCCCAGGCTCCCTCTCTGCCCTCATCTCCTGCTCATCCTATAAGACCCAAAGTCATTGAATGGCTGTTTGGCCAGTGTCCACTCTCGCTATCTTTGTTCAGTCTGCTCTTTGCCTAGGGTGCCCTTCACCCATCTCCCCATGTCCCAAAACTCCTTGTCTCTCAAGTGCAACTCAATGACATCTCCCCAGGAAGTCTTCCCTGACTCCAGCATTAATCACCCTCAACTACCATCTCAGGGCCCATCTGCAGCTTGCACAGCCCTCAGCCAAGGTCTCGACCACCCTGCATTGTAATGATTGTGGGTCAGTGGCAGGGGTCAGCTCTTGTACATAGAAGTGGCCCCCACAGAGCCTCGCTCCAGGCTTCGCTCCACTCTCACACAGACAGATGGCCTGGGAAGAGCTCTTTGGGTGGTTGGGTGAGTGGGTGGGGTCCAGGCTAACTGGCCCTCAATCAATTTGCACAAGGCTAATTCAACAAAGCCCAATGATCCAAATAACAACTTGCTGAAAACTGTTAGACAATCACAGAGCATACTTTAAACCTGGTCTAGACCCTTAACCAGAGCCATCTGCCACCAGAAGCAGAAACAGTGACAGGACTGGGCAAGCCCGGGTGAAAGTCCACCAAAAGAAAGAAGAACTGCACTTCAGGGAAAGCCCATCCATTCACATATATAATAACATGACAAGGGCAGGGCACTGTGCAAAATTTAAGCAACACTAAAATTTGTTTAAAAAAAAAAAAATCTTCAAAATGTAGGCAAATTAATCCTATGGTAAAAGGACCTGCTTCAGCAGGGGAGCCTGCGGCGTATCTTAGTACTGAAGAGTTCAGACTCTGAAACCAGACTGAGCGTTCAAATCCTGGCTCTGCTCCTAGCTCTGAGACCTTGGGCAAGCGAGTTCATCTTTCCAGGCCAGTTTTCCACATCTGTGAAACCGGGTTCCCTTGTGGGGTGTGGTGAGGATGACATGAGTCAGTGGGTAAATGTAAACATGTGAAGTGCTTAGAACAGTGGCGGGCACGCTCTTCCTCGCCATCGTTATGGGGGCATTTCTGCTCTGCTCCCCCGGAATTCCCCAGTTCCCGGACAGGCTTCCTGTGGCTTTTATTCCAGGGTGGACTTTAGACCTCGGTTCAACCTGAGCTTAGGGAGCAGAGCAAATGCTTTCCAAAAACAGAGCCCGCCCCACCCGGGGCTCACATCGTCTGTGAAGATGGCCAGTTTCCCGCTCTCCAGCATGTCTTCCAGCTCTTCATTGGTTGTGGTCCTTCCAGCTGTGGGGAGAAAGGACTCCCTGCTCAGGGGCCGGGCCAGCCTGGGGGTCTGGGGGGGTGGGATGGGACAGGGACCTAAGAGCCCACCCTCCACCCGGCCTTGGGCCAGGCGCCCCCTCCGCAGAGAGGAAGGGCCTGGTGGGGACTTAGGCGGCCCAGGGAGTTGTGGGGTGGTGCACACGCACTGATCTCCAGCTGCCGCTGGATCCGGTCCTTGCAGCGGTCCCGGTACTTGGACTGGGTCGCGTTATATTCGGTCATTACCTCCACGAACTTCCGGGAGAGTGTGGAGTGCTGGGGTGGGGGTGGGAGGACAGACACACATCAGGGAGTCCGAGAGCGGAGGCAGGTGCATAGGTGGAGTGGGGAGGACGGGCTCGATTAGTTTACAGCCCCTTCTTCAGCCCGGGCCGCGATCCCAACCCCAGAGGTTCACAGTCCCCTACCCGTCCGTGCCCCCATCCCACGCGGGAACCAGCGGGCGACCCAGCCCCGCCCTCCCATAGCCCCGCCCCGGCCCCGCCCCGCGTCTGTGCTCGGCTCGGGCCCACACGCCCCCAACCCGCCCCAACCCTCCCCGCTCCTGCCCGGGCTCCTCCGGAGCCAGCTTTTGGTACCACCCCCGCCGGGCGCCACCCTCGCTGGGCCGCCGCCTCCTACCTGGGTCTTGCGGATGCGCAGGTCCGCGGAGGAACGGTTCAGACCCTCCTCCTGTTCAATGCTTTGCTCGATCGCTGCGGGAGAGAGGGCAGTGACGGGCGGGAGACCGAGGCAGGTGCGGCGGGGGTCCGGGGCGTTTGACGGGTCAACACCCCACGGCTGACCCCAGGCCTGGGAAGAGGCATCATGCCCATGGCGAGTGCGGGCAGTAGAGCCCCAGGGCGAGGGGACAGGAGGCCAGCAAATCAACAGACGGACAGACATTTGAGGGGGTCCCGAAGGCAGATAGGAGGCGAGACTGAGGGTCAGACGGTCACCACACAGAAGCGGGCGACTTGTTCTGGTGGAAGAATTGGGTCTTGGAAAGTCCCACCAGCTGTAACTCCTGCCCAACCCCATGGGTAGGGGGTGACCCCAGTCCCCTGGGGGGTCCCCGTATGTGGGGAACTCTCCACTTCCTACAGCCTCTGTACAGGGAGCAAGAACCCACCCTGCGATTTTTCTGGTGGAGGGCAGGCACTTCCAGGGAGGTCAGGTTCCAGTGACCACCCTTTCCTTGGAGCATTCTAGGGCCAACAGATGAATGTTCCAAGAGAGAAAACAGCCCTTCCCCTCCCCTGCAAGGTGATCCCCATTCCGGGAATTCCCACTTCTAAAGGATGTTCTGGAAAAGTGCACAGATTAATTGGGATTCCTGCTTCTGGATCATGCACTCCTGACACTATCATTCAGATTTTCTATAAAAGAGCCATGGTAAGATCTCTTTCAGTACTATCAGAATATGCAGCAGGGATGAGTCACCAGGCCCTCTCAGGCCTTGCAGGGCCTCCTGGCCATTCCTGAGAACATCATTTCTCTGTTCTGCTGGCAGCGGGGGAGGTATGGGCCTGGATGGCACCCCAAGGCTCCCCTGCCAGCACAGTGACTGAGCAACAGCTGTGGCCCAGCCACTGCGAGGAAAACACAGGAATGCACACCCAGGCATCCCGGAATCTGCTGGCCCAGACTGGGGCCCTACTGTCAGACTTGGGGCTGGGGCCAAGTTGGGAGGGAGGGGTCTTTTGCAGGTTCTCGACTTTTAACAATAATCTTGGGAGTTTGTTGACATCAGCCCATGTTTCAGACTAGAAACTGAGGTTCAAATGGGTGAAACAACTCACTCAAGGTCACACCCAAAACCTGAGCTTATGCCACAAGCTCCGGCCACCAGCTGGAAGAGGATGGAGAGGAGAATCTTCTCTCCTTTTCTGGAGGTCTGGAAGGTCGGCTCCACCAAACCACTGCCACTTTTCCTAGCTTCTTTCTTGGTCTATCCCTGAACTCCTAATCAACAGAGCCTTCCTCAGTATCCTATAGAGAATGTTCAAGGTTAGCGCTCAGTGGGTCCAAAGAAACCATTGAGTCCAGAGGTTTTTAAACTATGTGCCAGCAGGAACCTTGTTCCTGAGAAGGAACCTCAGGGGCTGTTGCAGGGAACGAAGGAGAGGCCAGGCCCCTCAGCTCCAGTTCAGCCAGAGCAATGTGACTTGTATATCTTTTATATATTGGGGCTCCTTATAAGATTTCATTTGGAGAAAGAGATTTTGCTGCCCCTTCCCCCTTAAAAAGCCAGTTTTGAAATTTCTTCCATTTTTCTTACTGTACCGATGAGAAAGCTGAGGATAGGGGATTTGTCCAGAGTGAGCTGATGGTGGAGGCTGGACTCCTTCTGCCTAAATTTGCACTTAATGTGCTCCCTGTTAAGGGCATTTTCCATTCCAGCATACTCTCCTGAGTACAAAGGGCTTGTTTTCACAAATCAGCATCAGAGGCTTATGTGTGGCCTCCCCTCGAGTCCAGGAGGGCATGGAGTTCCTGTCCTCATGTCCCCGGACCAAGGTCAGTGCTCTCGGGCTAGGCATCTGATACATCCCCTCTCCCCAAAGCCTAGCAATGTGCCTGGGACACTGGAGGTACTTGGAAAATGTTTTCTGGTGCTGAATTACTGTGAGCATACAAAGTGGCATCACAGTAACACTGTTATTCCCCTGGCACCGGCAGACAAGGAGGTTCCCAACCCACAGTGCTTTGGGAGAAGGTGGTTATTACCAGCACCCAAGTCCTTAAATTAGAGCGAATACATGAGCATTTGGCAAGTCCCTCTTGAAAGCTTGCCAGCCCCTGATGTCAGCCATACAGTCCAATCTGTCCTGAGCCAAGGATACCAATTCAGAGCATTTGCTGAGCCCACCTACTGGGTGCTCAGTGCTATGCCGGGTGCCTGTTCAGGAGAAATGAGGACTTAATGAAACCAAAGCCACTTGGAAGACCATTTTTCTGGTGGCCCTTCATGCTGATAGAACCTTCATGCAGAGCTCAGCTGCAGTTTGGATAGAAACCGTCCTCTTTCTCATTTCCCTGTCATGTATCTTTCTCCAAAGAATCTACGTATATCAGGGGGGAAATCTGGGGTTTTATGCTTCCTCACTGTGTAGGAATCTGGCTCTTGGGAGTTTGTAGACATTCCTTATAAAAAAGGCCTGTTTTGTCCAATGGAGGGCAGAGTTCTTTTTCTCCCTAGTTGAGGGATTGCAGTCCTCACCTTTCAACTTGGACCGAACCTTGTTGGCCGTCTTCTTGATGTCTGCAGTGAGGTCCTCCAGCTCCTGTTTGGTCTCTGAGGGGAGGGTGAGGGTGGATGAGAAGTCTGGGTGGGACCTCAGACCCTTTCTTGCCCCACCCCACAGCCATCCGGCAGCAGCACTCACTCTCATCTGGGTTGGGGGCAGCCAGGATGGCACTATGCTGTTTTTTCACCTGCTCCACGTCTTCCGACAGTTTCTCAATGCAGCCCCGGATCTCTTCCACCTGAGGCAGAAAGTCGGCCACAGCCAGCCAAGTTGTTGGGCCACAGGAGAACCCAGGGGAAACAGCCAGGGGTCAGGGGGATGGGCCAGCCCCAGAGGATGGATAAAAGGCCAAGGAGAGGGCAGGACCAGAGAAGGGGGGAGAGGGAAAAGGAATTTGCCGGCTGGGTGCTGGGTGCTGGGGCTGGGGACATTGGAGGCTCATTACCTGTTCAAAGAACTCATCCATGAAGTGGTCACGATCCACATGGACCACCTCCTCCTCATCATCACTGTCTTTCGCCTGGGAGGCAAAGGAAGACTGCATCCATCAGCTGTCCCTCCCCAGGCCCCCAAGGCTGGCTCTCTAACTCTCTGGCCCTCTCCCTACCATGATTACATGGATGCTCCCAGTTCTAGGCTCAGAGAAGGGGTCTTGGGAGGGGTCCTACGCAGGGGAGATGGCAAGGGCACCAAAAGTATCCGATGTCCCCAAGGATCCCTTGGAGGGAATTGGCAAAAGGCACTCTTTCTTTCGGGGTGGATGTGGCTGTGTGGGTGCAGAGTCAGTCTGGGGGGGCAGGAATGGTATTCAATGCAGCTGCTATTGACCAACCAGTATGGATGTATTTCAATATTTTAACAACCAGTTAAATGCCAGCCGTGTAAGAACTGGCTCTGGGTTCTGAGAAGGGTTCTGGAATGGAGTCCCAGGAGCCTGAACCTCCCTGCCATGCCCCTGCCGCTCCTGCTCAGATCTCAGTTTACTCCCTTTCTCTTCCCCTCCTGCCGCACCCAACCAGACATGTCCCCTGTGCAAGGTCACTTCACTGCCAGAGGCAGGCGCCAAGTTGAGCAAGCACGGTCAGGCCCAGCGAGGGCTGCACGGGAGACACAGCACACCCTGACCTCCCGCACTGCCTGCCCCCCTGAGCCGGCTCTCTCCATATATTCACTCCCTTTCATCCTGCCCCTCGAACTTCACACCCGCCCACTCTCCCTTGCTTGGATTTCCCAGTTGCAACCTGCAGCTGCTCAGCCCTCCACCCGCAGGGCTCAGAGACACAAAGGGATTTACCCACCCACACCAGCACCTCCACCAACACACAGACCAGCGACACAGACAGAAGAGCTGACACGCAAGGCACACAGGAATAGGCCCCCGACACCCACGTGGAGATACTCTGACAGGCTGGTGTTCACCCGCACACAGACCCACAGCAGGGCGGCACGCTAACACGTGTGGACACACAGGCCTTCAGCCACACCCCCAGGGACACTCAGAAGGGCTCCCTCAGCCAGTTCTCCCAGCCCCTGAGCCTCCGTGTGGGGTAAGAGAGGTGGCAGGGAGGACTCCCCAGTGCTACACACTCCTCACTCCACACTCTTTGCTGCTTGGGACAGAGGGCTGAGGGCAAACCCTGAGCCCGTATAGCTCGATGACATCTGGAACACTAATCAGCCCCGATGGAAACTTAAACAGAGTTCACCCTGATTTCCAGAAGGAATCTAGCCAGAGCTCAGACTCTAACCCCCAGAACCTGAATGAAATCAAGACAAGACCTAACGAGCATCTACTTGGGGGTGCAGCCAGCTGGGACCTAAAGAGAGGGGCAGGCAGGTTCCAAGCAGAACGCAGACAGGGGCCTGGCAGAAACCAGACAGCTCAGCCCGATCCCAGACAGCTCAGATCGAACCTAGACAGAGCCAGACAGGCCCCAGATGCAATCTAGACAGCCAAGAGAACTCGGAATGAGCAGAACCCTGACAGCGCCAGGAAGAGCCCACACAGCCCAGAGGAAACCTCCAGCTACATGCTCCCAAAGCCACCTGGCCTCTTGCAGAAGCCCTGCCCAGATGGAACCCCAGGGGTTCTCCACGTAGACACTGGGCCCCGCATCGCATCAGAAAACATTCAGCACTTGTGTTTAATTTCCAAATATCTGCCTGGAAAGGGAGGTTCCTTTGTCTTGGCTCACAGACGCTCCCAGAAGGTGGGGTGGCACAGGTGGGTGTTAGGGACCCTGAGACGACTGCTGGCTTCTCAAGCCTCCACCTGGCTTGAGGACCACCACAAATAGACCTAGAGGCTCTGGGATGCTGGGCTCACCTCTGAGGACCCATTGGCCACCCCTCTCCACTTCTCTGTCCTCAAAAACCAGCTGCCCTGTGAGGCCTCCTTCCCCTCGGGCCAGAAGCCTTCCTCTGCCCCTTGTCTGCCTTCAGCCACTCACCCAGCCCCAGCCAGCCCCGTAAAGGTCCTGAGGCCTCTCACTGGCAAGGGTGCCTGGGAACTTTCCTGTTCTCTCTCTCCCTTTCTCTGCTAACTTTAGGAAGTTCTTCCTAAAGTCTAATTTCTATCTCTCCTGTTGTATCTAGAGCCAGTTCCCTTAGATTCTTCCCCGGGGCATCCTGGGCGACCTGTTTACTTGCCCTCAAGAGAGGCAGAAAGGTAGAAAGCCGTATGTGGTTTATGTGATATAATAATTACAAAGCCGAGAGCTAATAATCCTCCACAGTTTGCAAACACTTTTACACCCATAATCCTTTTTGATCCTCATCACCATAGCTCTGCGAGAAAAGCTCAGCAAATATCATTGTCCCATTTCACAGATGAGGGAACAGGAGGCCAGAGGGAAAAAGGAAAGTGACTTGCCCAAGAGCACTTGCCCAGGCTGAACAGGGCTAGGAAACCGCGCGCATCCAGGACACACCTCACCCACAACCCTCTCGGAGGCTCCACGCTGGGCAGCCTCCTGCAGCGACGCTCGGCCACCAGCACCTCCCCTCTCAGGCCAGCTCCTGCCAAGGCCCAACCTGGGTAAGGCTCTGTGCCTGGAAACCCCACAGAATGTTATCATTTGATAGTACTTCTTGCATAAATTTTAAATCTGTGTTACCTTATTTAATCTTCATTCAAAGGCTGTAAGGACCATTGGCCAACATCATTATAATTATGGTAAACATTTAAACAGCATTTACAGCGTGCTGGGCACTGCTCTAGGCACACTGCATCTGTCTATCCAATTCACTCTTAGAACAGTCCCCTGAGGTAGGTATTATTATAGCCCCCTTTTATAGATGGGGAAACTGAGGCATGGGGAGGCTAAAGAACTTGCCGCAGGTCAGCAGCTAGAAGGCCAAGTGGCTTCCGCCCTCTGAGCCTCAGTGTCTGCATTCGCTGAATGGCAACAGTGACCACCCCAAGTGGTGGTCGGGGGGTGGGCGACGAGACAAGGCAGGAAGAATGCCCGGTGCTGCCAGCGCAGGTAAGGCTTGGCGAGGGCTGGCCATTACTCCCTGCCGCTCCCACGTTACAGGCAGGAAACAGGCTCAGAGAGGTTGCCTGACCTGCCTAAAGCTTCACAGCAAATGAGGCCAGAGGTGGGACCTGACCCTGGGACTGTCTGGTGTTACATTCCAGGCTCTTTCCCAGCTGTCCTGCAGGCAGATGGCAGTCCCTCTATTCCTACGTGGTCCCAAAGAGCCTGCTCTGCTGTGTCTTCGGTACTGCTGACCTCATGGGGCCAGGATGCAAGATCAATGAGAGGGCCCAGGGCTGCAGGAAGAGCCCAGACAAGAAGTCGGGCCTCCCATCCTCTGTTTGACTTGCTGTGTGACTGTAGGCAAATCCCAGCTCCTCTCTGGGCCCCAGATCCCTCGTCGCTGGAATGGGCAGGCTGGTGCAAGTGCTCACCAGGGGCCCCCACTGCTCTGAGGAGTGCGTGTTTAGCAATGGGCATGGCTTCCATTTCTGGAAGCAGTCTAAAAGAAAGCAGGCTGTAGGCAAATGAGACGACCCAGGACAAGATAATCAAATGTGCCACAATCCACTTTCTGGTGGCCTCAAGTTACAGATGGACAATTCAAGCTTCAGTTTCCTCGTGTCCCAAACGAGGAAGATAATAATTTATATACATCTAACACGTGTGCACTAATTACCCTGAGTTGGGCCCTGTTACAAGTGCTTTGCATTTCTTTTTTCATTATTCTTTTGTATTTTTTTCAGTCCTGGTCTTTCAACAAATGCATTTCATGTTTAATCCTCACAATCACTCCATGAGGTAGATGCTATTTGTATTCCCATTTGACAGATGAGGAAACTGAGACACAAAGAGATTAGCTGACTTGCCCACAATTATACAGTATAGAGGGTGCTGATGGGGTGGTGGTGCCTGGATTTGAACCCAGGCATGCAGATCTTTGCTGCTCACCAATTCCTGGAGTGCTTGAGAAGATGACATGAGATAGTGCTGAGCTCTCAAGCACCCTCTGGAACTGCCTCGGGAGTGGAGGCATCAGATCCAAGCCTCCAGCTTCAGTCTGCCTCCTCAGGACCCCCCCAAAGTCCAGGTCTCCACACCAGAGACACTAAGGGCCCTTGTGTGTGTGTGTCGATGAGGGCAGACAACAAGGACAGACACATAAATGGAAGGAGGAGAGGGACAATGTGAGCCAGCAAGTCAGTGACCAAAGAGACAGATGGTGAGATGGTGACAAAACACAGAGGCAGGAAGAGACTGGAACCGGGTGACAGAAAAGTCACAGAGAGCGTGTGTGTGCGTGTGTGTAAAACCCACATGCGTGCCCATCCGCACTGACACATGTGCTCACCCATGCTCCTCGGGGTGCAAGCGTTTGATCTCGAGGCAGCAGCCTCTCCTGTGCCCCCTCCCCCACCCCGGGCTCTGTCCATCTGTCTCCCTGGCCTGGGCCTCTCCCCGCTCCTCCCACTGCCAGGCCCAGCCCTCTCACCTATCCCTCTCTCCTCTGTCTTCCCTGCCTTGCCCACCTGCTCCCATCCTTGTCCTCCCTCTGCCTCACTGAGTCATCCATTCATCTAACAAACATGTATGATCCGTGCCAGTTCTCTTCTGGGCGCTGCTGGCGACCCAGTGACAAGACAGGCGAGAAGGGCCTGCCTCCAAGGAGCTGACATTCCAGCGGGGGGAGACAGACAATAGAAAAAGAACAAGATAATTTCCGATTGTGCTAAATAGCAGGAAGGAGATAAACAGGAAGATGTGACAGAGAGAAACGGGTATGGGGGAAGGCTTTATTCATACAGACGGTCAGGGAGGGCCTTTCTGGGGAGGTGACATTTGAGCTGAGTCCTGAAGGAGCCAACCGTGCCACTGTGTGGAGGAGACAGAATTCAAGGCAGAGGGAACAGCAGTCTAGGCAGAGGGAGCAGCATTCTGGGCACAGGGAACAGCATTCTGGGCAGAGGGAACAGTATTCTAGGCAGAGGAAGTGTTCTGGGTAGAGGGAACAGCATTCTGGGCAGAGGGAATGAGCACGAAGGCCCTCAAGCAGGGATAAACGTGATGCGTTTGAACGGCAGAAAGCCCTGTGCAGCTGGAGGATGTCAATCCATCACCCGGGGTTCTCTTGGTCTCTGCCTACTCTCTCGAACACTGAGCCAATCTTTCATGCTGTTATTTCAGGACTGCATTTCTAATGCACCTACTGTGCCCGCCCCACACCTGAGAGCCACACACAGGTCTCAGCTGCTGCCTTCAGGGCATGTGACTTGTCCTTTGGCAGCCTCGGTCCTGTCCAGCCTCAAATCCAGGCCTCCCCCACTGCAGGCCTCCCCTTCTTCCATCTGCCTCGTCTGGCCTCTCTTCCCAGTCTCCCATTTCCCCATTCCCGTGGCCTTCCACTCCACGTGGCCCCGCCCCTTGCATCCAGGGACACCTGTTTTAGCGGATTAACTCCCCATGGCAGCCTACACGTCCAGCCTAGCACCTCCCAGTTCCCAACCAAAGGTGCTTGGATGAACTGGACACAGAAAACCTTGGTTCGACCCTAGCTCTGCCATTAAGAGCTATGTGACCTTGGGCAAATCAGTTTTTTCCCTCTGGCCCTCAATTTATTCCAAAACAAACCAGGGATCATGTCCTGCCCATCTCAGGGGGCCTATGTGATGATGTTCAAAATAACTAAAGAAACACAGAGCATTGTTGTGCACTAGGCCCCCTCCTAGGTGCTTTTTCCATATTAACTACTTTTTTTTTTAGGGACAGAATCTTGCTCTGTCGCCCAGGAGCTGGCATCATCATAGCTCACTGTAGCCTCAAAGTCCTGGGCTCATGTGATCCTCTCACCTCAGCCTCCTGAGTAGCTGGGACCACAGGTGTGTGCCATCATACCCGGCTAATTTTTAAAAAATTTTTTGTAGAGATAGAGTCTTGTTATATTGTCCAGGCTGGTCTCGAACTCCTGGCCTCAAGTGATCCTCCCCCCTCAGCCTCTCGAGTTGTTGGGATTACAGGCATAAGGCACTATGCCTGGCCCCCTACGACTTTTAATCCTCAGGACAGCCCTGGGAAACAGGTACTATTATTATTCCCAATTCACACATGAAGAAACTGAGGACTAGAAAGGTTAAGCAACCTTGCCCAAGGTCACACAGGAAGTAGTGAAATTAGGATTTGAACCCAAACAGTCTGGCTCCCATCTGTGCCCTCAACCATTATGTGATAAACAGACTTGAGAACCCCTTGGGAACTCTAAGGTACTGTTGGAAGGACGATCAGGGCACCAGGCTAACATCCCCTCCTGCCACTGCCCCCGCCTCATCCTCTCAGTGTCTCAGAGACCCTGTGCCCAGGCCCCGCACAGCTTGCCCAGTCTCTCCTGTGTCCCAGCCTCCTAGCTCTCGATTCTGGCAGGGAGACCCTTATGCTCCCTGCATCTGGCGGCCGCCCCCTCCCAAATCTCCAGTTTCCCTGAGTTGTGACTAACATCAAAGCCATCAGCAATCACCCAGCCCCTGTCACCCCTCCAGGACACCTCCAGCCTTCCCCACCTGGCAGCCCCGGGCAGCAGGCAGTCACAGTGAACAGGATTCCTCACCTCTGGGCAGGGGCCTCCTGACTCACTCAGATCAGGATTCCCCATCCCCTGCTCCCCCTCCATCCCTGCCTTAGCCTCTCCCTCCTCCCTTCGATTATACCACAATTCTACCACCACCTCATCCAACCCACGTTCCCTTTCCCTGGATTTCAGAGTCATCGAATAGCCTTGGCAGCATGGGATCTGGATTCAAATCTGGATTCCTCACGTGCTAGCTGCGTGCCCTTTGGCAAGTTATTCAACCACTCTGGGCTTCAGCGTCCCCAACTATAAAACGAGGTAGCCTCTCAGGCCCCCTGCCTCACAGGAAGTTGGTAAGGCTCTAAGGAGATTATGGATGAAAACCTGCTCTGTAAACCACTGTGAGAGAAGGGAATTGAGAGTACCGACGCTGAAGCCTGGGTTTGGTTCCTGCCTTTTACTAGCTATGTGACTGTGGTCAAATTACCTAACCTCTCTGAGCCTCAGTTTCCTTATCTGTAACAAGAGATAATGCTAGTACCAGGCTCATAGGTTGCTGTGAGGATCAAAATGAGTTAATATGTATAAACACTTACAACATTGTTGCTCATTATTATTATCGTCATTTTCTTCATACCTGAGCATATATTCAGTAAAAGTTGAATAAAGAAATAAACGTTCAAAATTCCCTCCCTCAACCACCAGCTCCTCCTTTCTTACCACTTGCCAACTTGTCTGTCCCCAGAGCCAGCAGTCACTTCCCCTGTCTGTCTGGGTCCCCACTCCCAAATCCAGAAGGCTCTCCAAAGATAGGGCTCTTTACCCCCTGTGCTGAGACTTCTGTTGCAAAGGCCAGAAAAGCAGAGACCCATGTCGACTTGGCAGATGGGAAGCCTAGATTCCAGTCTGACCCCCCACCCACTTGCTTGGTTGGTGACCTTGGGCAAGTCCCTTCCCATATCTGAACCTCAGTTTCCCCATCTGTCAAATGGGTTAATAAACCCTGGGGTAACAACCAACCGGCTTCTGGTAAAGACCCAGTGCATCAGGACTCATTGACAGGGCCAGTACTTTTATCAACATAACACCACAGGCCACGAGCACACTGCGACTGTCAGCTCTGCCTCCTCAGGCCCCAGGTCATTTCTCCAAATGCCTCAGCAACCTCCCTGCTCGGGGAAACCATTCTCATCAAGCCCCATTCCCAGCCCCTCCAAATAGCAGCCTCCACTGCAGCCTCCAGGGCTGCCCTCCTCCGTCTCCCAAAAACAACTACCTGCCTGGCCGGACTCCGGGAGTCGGGCCTCTTCAGGCCTGCAGACCTAGGCCCACATCGGCTCCTGACTGCTCAGGATGCCCCAGTTCCCCCCGGGCAGAGCTCAGCCCATGTCACACAACCCAATTCCGTGGCCCTGTGTGAGGAACCCCCTCCCCTTCTCCTCTGCATCCCCATCTCCCACCTCTGGGGTCACCCCGTCTCAGGCCCTGGCCTTCTGGCTGTCTCCTGAGGCCACCCTTCCCTCCCTGTCTCTGAGAGGTGCCCCCTCCCCACGGGGAGCAACATGCGCGTGCACACACACACACACACACACACACTTCATTCACTGCCAGGTGTTGGCATCTCAGTCTCAACCCGTGTCCTTCCCCACAGCATCCCCCAAATCTGGGTCCTGCTAGACTCTCAGCCTGGCCCAGTAACCGCCCCCATCCTTCTAATTTGGCAAACCTGCCCAGGGGGTGACAGCACCCTCCCATCCTCGCCTGACATTCACTCCCGCATCCTCGGATTAGACCCCAGGGCTCTCCTGGGAATGTGAGGTGTCCGAGGCCCCTGAGACCTCTCCTGCCCCCTTGTATCTTAATGGCCTCCAACCCCTTTCAGCCACCATCCCCAAAATGCAGGTTCACTGGAGACATCAGGTGCCTGGAGATGCTGGGGTGCCCCGGCTACCAACCTCCAATCTCATCATTCGCCCCCCACGTCCCAGCACCTCCCCCACTCCATCCCCACGCGCTCCCCAAATATTGGGGTCCCGCCCCCCCATTTTCCCCACCCCCAAGCTCACACTCCGCAGCTCCTGAGTCCGATCCTTCATCCTGCGACGGCTCCTCCTCCTCCTCCTCGTCCTCCTGCCTCTGCTGCTGCTCCCGATCTCCTGCCTCGGTGCCGGAGGCTGGGGTCTGGGGGCGCCGGGGAGAGGGGGGCGCCGGAGCCGCTGCGGGGGCCCTGCGGGCGGGGGCGGGGCCGGGGCGGTGGGCCGAGGGCCGGCAGGGACAGGGGCCCGGGCTGGCTCGCCTCTGCCTGGGCTGCGGTGGCGATGCGGCTGCGGCACAGGGTTGGATGGAGGGATGCGGGAGCCGAAGCGCGGGGGAGGGGGGCGGAGGGAGGTGAGGAGCGAGGAGGGAGGGGGGAGCCGCGAGGGGGCAGGGAGCAGGGGGCATGCGCAGCCCGGGGCTGGGGGCGCCTGGGGGTTGTAGTCCGGGGAGGGGTACACCCGGGGAGGGGGACTGGAGAGGCCCAGAGGCGGGTGGGGGAGGGCAGAGCTGGAGAAGCAGAGAGCAGTGGAGAGAGACAGAGGAGGTGCGGGGGCAGGCACCGAGATGCGGGGTGGCCTGCAGGGTGGGTGGAACGGCAGAGAGAAGGGTAAGGGAATGAATTAAGGGAATAACCTGGGGAGAGGGCATGTGGATCCCTTTACCTAGGAGATATAGATTTTACATTTTCTGTCTGTGTGTCTCTGTGTGAGCCTGCACACGACCACCTCTGTGTGTGCCCCTGTAGGAGCCTCTCTGGACACTGGAAATAGCAAGACTGACCCTCTGTGTGGCTTTTTTGATACAAGGAATCTGCCTGTTTCCCACAGCTTTCACCCCTCTACGTGTGAGCGTGCCCCCCGCCCCGCAGTGCTGGGTCTCAGAGCTCTGCTTGTCTACCTCCAGGGACAGGGTGCTCACTACCTCCCAAGACCTCCTGGCCCACCTTTAGATGGCTCTGTTAAAAATGAAATTCATCCTTATTGGGAGGGCAAATCCGGTACCCCTGAGGGCCCAAGTTACCCTGTATCCCCCCTTAATGCCCATCTCCTCTCTGCCCACCTTCACATCTTAACATCACATCCACTCGTCTCCCCCATCAATGGGGCTTTGGCGCCCAACAGGACAGGCCTTGATTCTGCTTTTGCCAAGTACCCAGTGACCCCCCTTGACAGCAAATCCATCAGGCCTTATCACCCATGACCTTTTAGCAGCATTTGACCCTGATGACCTCTCTCTTCTTGAAACCCTCCCCTCCTTGGCTCTCTGCCTACCTCCTGCCTCCGTCTCCTGCTTCCCCCAACCTCTGGATGTTGTCCCCCAACCTTCCTCCAGCCCTCCCTTTCTCCCACAAGCCCTAGACCTCAGGGTCCCATGGGCACCATCCCAGGTTCTCTTCTCTCTTTACCTGCACCTTTCTGCACCTACATGCCTCAGTACCACATCTATCCCTGTAAGCCAGATCCTCTCCCCACAGGCAGCACCTATTATGTGCCTTAGCACTGAGCTGGGCACCAAGAATACAGAGACAAAAATGCTATCAGAGACATGAGTAGGTCCATAACTGCAGTGAGCGAGGCCAGGGTTTTGATATGGGAGCCTCAGATACAGTGGCCTCGCCCTCCCCAAAGTGCTCCTTCCTGTGGTCTCCGCCAGAGACGGCATCTCCATTTACCCAGCCACTCAAAGCAGATGGAAAGCTGTCCTTGACTTCCTCCCCCATCACAATAATGCCACCATGTTCTGAGCATCCACCGTGTCCCACTCATGATGCTGGTAGCTCCCACAAACCTCCCAACCTCATTATCCCCAACATACAGATCAGGAAACTGAGACTAGAGATGGTTAAATAATATATCCAAGTTCACAAGGTTAATAAAGGGCAGGGATGGGGCTCTTGTTTGCATCTTTTGATTGCAAAGCCCATTCTTGTAAGACCACAATGGTGTCTTTCACTTGGACCATGAGAACAGCCCTCCTCCCCCGGTCTTCCCACTGGAAGCCCCTTTCTGTCATGTCCATCTACCTCCCCAGCCTCTGGTGTGATTGTCCCCAAAACAAATGAGATAATGTCAACCCCCTGCACCAACACCTCCAACATCCCCCGTGGCTTCCCAATTACACTCAAAAGCCTGCTCTGGGCCGGGCACGGTGGCTCACGCCTGTAATCCTAGCACTCTGGGAGGCCGAGGCGGGCGGATTGTTTGAGCTCAGGAGTTCGAGACCAGCCTGAGCAAGAGCGAGACCCCGTCTCTACTAAAATTAGAAAGAAATTAATCGGACAACTAAAAATATATAGAAAAAATTAGCCGGGCATGGTGGCGCATGCCAGTAGTCCCAGCTACTCGGGAGGCTGAGGCAAGAGGATCGCTTGAGCCCAGGAGTTTGAGGTTGCTGTGAGCTAGGCTAACGCCACGGCACTCTAGCCAGGGCAACAAAATGAGATTCTGTCTTGAAAAAAAAAAAAAAAAAGCTTGCTCTGGCCTTTTAACCCACCATCATCTCCTCCTCTCTCCTGCCACTTCCCTCCTGTTCCATGGACCCCAGGCCTTCACCACACCAAGGAATCGGTGGCTTCAAACCCCTCTGAGTCTTTCACTGCATGTTTCCTCTATCTAGAATGCTGTGTAGCTCCTTCTCTGATAGTCAGACTTCTTATCCTTCAAGGCCAAGTTCAAGCCTCTCCCAGGAGTCCGGACAGACACCCTCACTAGATGTGGGCTAAGTCTGCTTCTCCACTAGCCCAGACTGGGCCTTGCTCATGTCTGCTTCTCCCCGGTAACCAATACAGGTCAGGCACAAAGTAGATGCTCACTAAAAATCTGAGCAAATGAATGAACAGCATATTCCCTCACATCTTTACCCAGGCATTAAGAAAAGAAAATAAGCTCCACAAAGGCAGAAGTTTTTGTCTGTTTTGCTCATTGCTGGTTCTGCAGTGGCACTATGGCACCTGACACATAGTAGGTGTTCAATAAGTATTTGTTACATGAATGAATGAGGGAAAGGTGCACAGCTCAAATCTGGCTGCAGCTCTTAAGACAGACACAGGCACGCAAGTTGTGATGACAATGCTAATTTCTCTCCTTGCTCAGTGATTTTGTGCTCATCACATCCACGATCACTTGAAATCTACACAATAATCCTGCGAGGTGATTTCCCTGGATTGTGTACCAGCTTCCTATGCAGCAGCCCCTCTCTCTCTCTCTCTTTTTTAAGAGATGGGATCCTGCTCTGTCACCCAGGCTGGAGAACAGTGGCCCTATTACAGCTCACCGTAGCAGCCTCAAACTCCTGGGCTTAAGCGACCCTCCTGCCTCAGCCTCCTGAGTAGCTGGGACTACGGGCACATGCCACCACGCCTGGCCCTAGTGGACTTTCTAAAGCATCAATATAACCAGGCCAGCCAGGGCTCAGAAAACTCCCCTGGCTCCACACTGCTTATGAGATAAAGCCCCAACTTCCTAACCTGGCTTTCCACTTAGGCACGTGTCACCATCCCTCATGCACCCTTTATTCTGTCCCAAGTTATTTTCTGCATTTTCCTACCTCCATGCCTTTCCTCCTGTTGTTCGTGCCCCTGGAACTCCATTCCCTCTCATATCCCCAAGACCGACTCCTACTCTTCCTTCAAAGTGTAGCTTCTGGAGTCTTCCTTGACTCCTGAAGCTAGAGAGAAAGCCTACTAAATACACAGAGTACCGGGCCTCTCTCCTGGAAATTCTGATTCAGTAGGTCTGGCCTGGGGCCCAGGAACCTGGGTCTTTAGCAATAACCTCTGGCAATTCTTATGGTCAGTCACATTTGGGAACTACAATGTATTAGGTAAACTAGCCTAGGTTATGCTATGTAACAAACATCCCCCCAAAGCTCAGTGATACAACTAAGGTTTATATTTGTGGTGGGTTTGGGTTACTTCCTGGAGCATCTGCCCTTAAGGAAGACTCGGTACTTCAAGGGGAGACATTTATACATAGCTTATCAACTTGCTGGGCTCCGAGTTCCTCATATTTGAGGACCCCATGTCATTAATCTCTGCCTCCCTATGGCACCTGGCACAGGACCTATCACACCTGCTGGACTCAGGAACAAAAGAATGAACACTCATTTGACCCATCCAGCCATTAACCAGGAAGTATTTACCGAAGCCCTGCTCTGTGTGCCAGAACATACTCTGGTGCTAGATAGAGATACAGCGGTGAGTCTACGGCCATACCACCCTGAACGCGCCCGATCTCATCTGATCTCAGAAGCTAAGCAGGGTCGGGCCTGGTTAGTACCTGGTATGGGAGATACAGTGGTGAGCAAAGCAAACATTAATCCGGTCCTCGTGAGCCAGTTACCTAATTTTTCTAAGACCTAGTTTCCAAATCTGTAAAATGGCTCTAATATCTACCCCTCGGGCATGGTGTGAGGATTTAATGGGAAAATGAGCATGGAGGCCATATGTAATCTGAGAATCTTAATTCAAGCAGATGTGAAAGAGCACTGTTATCCCTGTGTGTGTGTGTCCTTTCCTGTTCTTCCACCCCTCACATCAAGTTTTCGTGTTTCATTCGTTAGTCCCCTGGAATCTGCTCACACATCCCTCTCCTCCCTACTTCCACCGCCCATCATGAACCTGTAAGGTTAATATAAAGTTAATAACTTTAATAACAATGATGGCAATAGCTAACTCTTATACAGTGCTTATGAGGAACCAAGCTCTGTGTTAAGTGTTCTATATGTATTAAATCATTTGCTATTCACAATAACCACCTGAGGTTATTGCTATTATTATCTCCATGTATAGATAAGGGACTGAAGCACAAAGAGTTTAAGTAACTTGCTTAAGGCAGAAGCAGGGATCTATTCCAGACAGAAATCCCAGACTATCAAACCTTCTCCTGGTCAACTGGTCTTTGCCTCCCAGGGGGCTCCTTCCAGCCCTTTCTCTACCGAAACCAGAGTCAACGTCGTGCAGCAGAAACTGGATCACGGCACTGCCTTTGCAGATATAATTTAGGAAAATCATTGTCCTCACAATATTGAGTTTTCCTATCCATTTATATGGTACATCCATCCATTAATTTAGGACTTCTTTAAAGTCTTTCAATAAAATTTAAAATTTTTCT